TCAGTGTTATCAATCTATTTTCCTTGGTAATATAATATGAAGAGCTGAAAACACATATATATATATATATATATATATATATATATCATAGAAGGGAGGAGTTAGGAGTACCTATTCAATACTTACAATTTGAACACCATGCATTTGATAAATATCACCTTCTCAGTAGAGTAGAATGTTATGACGGTGGAAAAACATTAGTTCAAATGTGAAATTAATCTATTCGATATACTGAATGGATGATGAATCATCCTTTATAAGATATGAAAGTCAACCGATAACTAAAAATCAGTTTTATTTTCTCGCTAACAAACAAACAAATTATATCAATTCTTATCTATATATTGGGTACATTTTGACATTTTCAAGACTCTATGTAAAAAAAAACAACAAGAATAATAATACGAAGAATAGAAAAGGGTAAATGAAGGAAAAATAGCCTAACTAGTGGACAACAGACGTATGAGATGATTAAACATGCTTTTAAAATTTTAAATGCCAATTTATCGAATCTTGAATTTAGGCTAGAACAAAGCTAATACATGCAGAAGGCATCATCATCCCCAACTTTGTAGGCTACCCTTAAATGCCTTTCAGTTTTTTTGCTAACGCCCACGTTCTCCCGTTTTCCTACCTATACATGTTATGTACATATATATATGTTTGTTTATGTCCAGTATGTGTAATATATAAGCACTGGTATTTGGAGAGGAGAAAGTTATATGTCTTTGATTTCTCAATTGTCTATACTAAGAATTGATTGAAATCTTTCCATTTTCTCGTCTTTTGCATTTCCAATTCTGTTGAATCTTAATGAACCATACATTTCCATGTATTCATAGGCGAATGGTATTTAAGATTCCTTTTTCTCTCTCTATCCTTATATCTTGGCACTAACTGTTTGTGTTTTATTCTTTTTCAGAGGAAAAAATGATAAATTTGTAGTTTATTCCAAATTTTAGACAATGTTCTTGTTGTTATTGTTGTTCTTAGTTTCTGTTTGCTGTCGATTCTGTTTCGATCATTTGACCTAAAACTAGAATATGAGGGATTCAGCTACTTGGTTATTGATTTCTTTTTCATGGAGAAATATTCTGGGATAGTTGATTTGTGTATATGTGTACATCAGATGTAAATATGGTGGACAGTGTGCAGTCTCCATTACTATGCTTTATCTATATTTCTGTACACTGATCGTTAGATGCACGCTTTGTTACACCTAATGATATATTTTATCCAACCACTGGTGAACACACACACACACACACACAAAAGAAGGGGAGAATACACTAGTATGCAACAAATAAAGTTAGTGGGTAGGACAGAATAGAGACATTAATCCTAATGGTTCTTTTAACTCTTTCTGGCTAAAAGGTAATACTAAAGATTGTGAGCCAAACATAAATATATACAAACATCAGTTGGTTAACTTGACGAATAGTCATCATTAGCACAACACTTTGCTTGATATTTAACTATTCATCCATCTATTCCTATATGAGTCGTACTCATTAAAATAGAATATTCAGTATTAAATGTCCAATGTATCGTATTACTTACCAATCAATTAGGACATTTATCTTTTTATTATGTATACTACATTATATTCAGGGTAAGTTAATGATTTTTTTTAATTCTTATTTTTTCTCTGAGACAGGACGTGAGATGAAGGACTTTTCATGAAGTCACATTTTTCAAATTTTTTAATAACTCTCTTTTTGTCACTCAAGAATTAACTGTTTGTGTTAAGTGATCAATAGACGATAATCTATTTAGCTGACTGTCTAGTTCAACTGTTAATTAAAAATCTATTCATCAATTATGTAGTGTAATCATTCAGATAAATGACCCAACAGACTATACGCTACGTAAGTTTCCTTAGTAATTTACTAGTCAGTCAACAGCCTTAAGAAATAAATCTCGTTTTTCTTGGATATTATCAATAGTGTATTTTATGTAGCCTTAAAGACATTCGTGTTTATCTTGTAATAAAATTCGGTGTTAATAAGTTCTAATGGTTAGACAATAAATGACTTTTTTAGGAATGCCTTTCATTCCAGGCTAAGTTAATAAGGTTGAAAACTTAACTTTAGGAAAACATTATTAAGCATGTTTTCTATCTACTTCATTCACCTTTTTTTTTCACAGATACACTTGAATATATTTACACTAACCCTGTAAATAATAATAATAATGATTATCCAATAAAGTTATTTAAATTTCCCTTAACTTTCTTAAGTAATCACAAATTATAAGCATCACTACTTGAAGTTATTTCCTTTCTATTTATTGATTTGTTGTCATAATAATAACAAATTGTATTTGTTCTTTGTATCGTTTGATTTAACAACGAGCTTTATCACTCATCTTATCGTCTGACACACACTTAAAGCATTGTAAAATTATTAAGGAAAAACTTAATTTCAATGTATTTACACTTGACCATGGCATCTGTAATTGTGATTACGTTGCATTTATGATACAATTTAAAGATAGATTAATCATTTTAATATAATATACACATACACACTGGGGTACAGTGTTATTTCATATTACATGCTTTACTATAGCTCTTAAGTTGCGCATGAAATGATGACTTTAGTTTGTATGTCAAAGAGAAAGTGAATTCGGTGACGGAATCTGTGCTTTAACTGTCATGTGATGCTGCAGTAATGAAAACATTTATTTGTAAGAGGTTGTGAAAACAGATTTTCAAAAAGACTGGATTAATTCCCCCCCCCTACCGAGTAATTATTTTACACACTCCAGTCATACAAATGGATTAGTCGTAATCTGATTAGTTTCATCAATTACAAATATTAGTTACAAAATCACTTAGTACCAAGAGCGGAGGACATCTGCTTCACCCTAGTTTGAAACTCTTCTCCAATACGTACCAGGAAACTTTGAAGTTGAAAGATGACCCTGTTGTTGATCCGGCCACTGGTTTAGAATCCAATGATCTCAAACTCTTCCCACTTCGCGGTGTAGCGTTACCCCCGACCACTGCCATTGATCTACTAGAGCTACTGGACCTCATCGGCCACGATAAGAATGAAACTCCTGTCAAGTTTAATGATTAACTAACTGATGTAGGTTCTTGACGCAGTCCCTATTGGAATTAATCACATTCATTAGAAAACTGGAAACCTGAATAACCGAATTACTTTAGTGCCAAGAGTTCTAATTAAACTTTCAGATGATAGTCACAGTCTTTCTCCATAGTTTTATTTTATAGTTACTAATGTCTATCAACGGTTATTTCGACTATGTCAGAGGCCTAATGCTTCTACTCTTTCAATTTAAAAACACTAGAACGTTTTGTTCCCGTTCGACTCATTGAAACCCTAGATATTCCATGGTCTTTACCTAGCCAACGTGATTTGGTTAGGTGTATGATCAGTCAAGTAGTCAAATGCAGTTTGAATGTACAAGTTTTTTTTCTGATGTACAAAGCAGTTCAACTGTCTGTTGACTGAGGTGAAATTCGAAAAGTGTTGAACAAATAAATATCACTGAATTCGCAGTTTAACTATATGTAACTGTGATTCTATGGGAACTCAAATTTTTCACTGATCCTAATCCCTGCTTGCTTGTCACTAACAGAAGTTGTCGATTAAGTTTTCAGTGTGACGCGCATTCATATAATTGAGTCACTCATAAGTGGTGTCAACAATTCTACTTTTTCTAGAACTACTTTTATATCAAAAATTCCTGGATAAAAAGTAGTCTGATAATCTATGTAGTAATTAAATATGAGCTCAGTTGGCTGACATGAAGATGCGTGGCTTCATTTCATTTGTCATGCAGTGTTTTATTTGCCACAGATAACTGTAAATCTACTTACCAAATAATCCAGTTATATCAGTCAGTTAATACAACAGAGATACTTAGCCCGAAACAGAAATATGACTCAAGTGAGTTCTGTTAATGCAGTTCCCACGTGGATGGTGATAACTAGTGCTGGACTATTTCCATTACAAACCCCAATTAGTTACAAGTTAAACGTCGGATAAACCAAGCAGTGCATTAAATTAAATGACAGTTGTTTAAAAGGTAGCTTGTAGTGCTCATATTTGAATGTTCTTGGTAGGAAACATTTTAACGAATAGCATACTGAGACATATTCCGTCTGATTATGTGATAGTTAGAGGTTAAAACAGGAAAAACGGAGAAAATTAACATGCATTATGAAATAATAGAGAAGACTTGTAGTTCAGAATGTGGATGAAAATTGTTAGGTGTCCAGAATACCTAGCGATGAAACCTCCACTCCAGACTACAGAAGACTTATGCTCGATCAGTAGAAAAACGAATATCATATGAATTATTCACCACTTACCCACAATAAAAGATATGATAAAGTAGTGTAATTAATAAGTTCTCCAGCTAAATGATATAAGGATAATTTTCCTTATTATGAGCCACATCTTATTATCGATTATAAAGAATTCATCTGCATAAATCTCCTATATAATGTACATTGTGTACTAACGACTTGTCATCTTTTCAGATTTGAGATTAATCATTTTCAATTTCGAAAGATACCTACAATTTATTAAATTTTTTGTTCGTTATTTAAGCACCGACAACCTATTGTCGCTTTAAGTCTACAATTCAGTATTATAGTAGTAAGAGGAAAGCAGTTTTATACTTCTTGTTAAGAATTCCCAGGCTACCTAATGGTATCTTGGATTACTGTTAACTAGCGATATTTTTTCTCTGGTTAACAACGTATATTTTATGTATTTCGGTCTTACTGTTGTATATGAACATCAGCTTTTTACCCATAAGAAAATGAATCCTAATACATGTATTGCTAAGCAGTTGTTCTGTGTTTTGATATAAGTGGGAACTTATGTACGCAATATAGTTCTCAGTGAGCAGTCATCACTCAGCAGCAATTTTAACTTTTGCTTCGAATATTTCAATTATATATATATATATATATATATATATATATATATCAGAAAAGTAAATATTTCTTTGCCCAATCTTTTTGCTTATAATTTTAACTAATGAGGGAGATATGTCAGCTAGTATTCGACTAGTTCAGTCTTACATATCAAACAGCTCCAAAGTTACAGCAAATACTAAGTAATAATAAATAAACTTCAGAAGTCGACTAGCGAACTATACGTTGTGACATCTACTGAGAATTTGTTTCCATCACTTAACTTCCCTTCATTTTAAAGAGTCTTCAGTGTTTTTAGAGTTCAGCAAAATGTTTTTTGTTCCAAATACAGAAGTTCCTAAGTCTCTTCACTCTACTGTTTGACGATGACAGAATTCGAAACAAAAACCCAAGCTGCCTGGAAATTTAAATCATCTACCTCTAGAATTTATATAAATCTTTCCCTTCTTGACAGTTCTTTATATTAAAATGAATACGACAGATGAAAAAAATCATGGGCTGTTTCTCTAATACCTAGTTCTTTTCATTACTATATTACTAACAGTTATTCTTGACATAATAAAATATTTAGTTTAGATAAATCAATCGACCAATGAATCAATATCCTGGAAAAATAATTTTCTTTGAGTATAATACCTTACTTCATAAGGAAGTTATTAATCAAATAACCTTTATGTTGTTCATGCTACCTATGCTGATATTCATCTCACAAGTTCCTGTTGTAGTTGTCAAAGGTTATCAATATTATTTTTATTTAAAAATATAAACAGGTGAACGTGTTCGAAGGTTGAAACGTCAGGCTGAAGATGCTCCAAGTTCTGGAGTAAGTTTTCTAATGATAAATTTGTTTATATAAAAATAATTGCCAGTAATAAATTGATAACTGGCTATCTACACTACCTACACATACAAGGGTTTACTCTATGAGATAATCTTATTTTCGAAATTCGCAGTTGGATATAATTACGTCAATATCTAGTGTCATTATTTCATTGGCAGAATGCTCTCCAGTTGCTCGAGAGGTCCGGGTTCACAACTCAGATGATGTGCTCCTTGGCATCTCCTAACCGGAGGTAAGCCCGGAAAAGATAGAAGACTGGGTATGAGGCTAGCAATCTCAGTCTGTAAAAGAGTAACATCACAGCTACTGAAATCTTAAAAACCTCCGGCCCTCTATTGCACTCGGGACTCAGTAAACCAAAATAAACGTCAATATTCTTTTATCTTTTGAGATTACGACCTGTTAGCAGAAAGCTATGCACTGCTCTACCTTCTTATAACTGCTTGTAAAATGGATAATCAAGCATCACCTTCTTGATGTATTTACGTATTATCAGTACAAATGTGATGTTTCTCAGCCGAAAGTATTTATTTTTAAGCCAATGGTTTTCAGTTTTGACGACAGTTCAGATAGAGCTAATGACATTGTGAGAGTATAATATGTCATTTCTTCCCCTACATCAGCGTTTATAATCAATCTCCATTAACTCGCGTCACATATATTTACTATCACCAGAATACGTTTAACACAAGAGATAAAGAGAACAAAAAATTAGAACACTGGTCATATTACCAAAAATGTTCTTTAGATTGTTGGCAAAAAAAGGTATCAAGTGAAAATATCTTTTCCGAGCATTTACCCGAACTACACTAGCAAACCACCAGTATTTTCAAATAAAACACATGAAAATCACACCATCACAAAGAATGGAACTGCTCAAAAAGCTTTCTTTTTCTGAGGTTTACTTTTCATAATATCGGCTGTCATAAGGCAGTGATTCCACAGGGTTTACATGACATGAGAGTACAGTTTGGCTCCAAACTGTCTAGGTCTCTACGAGATTAATTGTAAGTAGAACACAAATGAAAAGAATTTCATAGACTGAATATTGCACCTTTGTTTCTTTACTATACAGACTTTCTGCAATACACTTCTGAAATTATGAAAAGGGTATATGCGTCTTTTCTCAACTCTTAACTCATCAAGCGTTTCATCAATCATATTGTGGACAATTATTGTATGTTATTATGATTTATGTAGGTTCTGAGTGGAATACAGGGCTTCAGCAGTACATCTCCGCTTTATTCTGTTCTGTATAGTCCTCTTAAGCTGGCTTCACGATCGCTCGTAGGCACTCATCCTCTTCTAACACAATCTACTCCGAGTTGCCTACGCCTAATACATCATTTCCCATTTGGGTTTCATCTGAGGTGTGGCCTACTCTGTCACTTAACGGTTTCATTAACGATTTTCCGATCCATCTCCATTTTCTTCGGTATACTTTTTGGGCAAAAGGTTCTTGCAAATTGCAATAAGCAAAATAAGACGTAACGGCGAAGAAAGTTAATCTTTCGACGAATAACTCCCAAGGGCTGTGTTACTGCGTCTGTACCTAACAAAGAATTCATAACACTAATCGGGTAGTGGTAAGCTTGCGTAATCTTTATATGCTCATATTGTCTTCCAATTTATTTTACGAAGTTGTAATTTCGATCAGTATCAGTTTCAAGAAAATAATTTATCTTAATTTAGACGAAAGGTCCAGCACCGTTTGGCGTGACAACTTATCGAGTTGGGGCGATGGGAGTTCAAGGAGAACGTGGACCTCCAGGGCCACCTGGTCCGGATGGTCCAACTGGTCCAATGGGTTCAGCAGGACCACCAGGAAAACCAGGAGGGCCAGGAATTCCAGGACCCATTGGATTACCTGGACCTCCAGGAACTGATGGCAAACCCGGTCGAGATGGAGAAGCTGGAAACCCGGGTCCTTCAGGAGAAGTCGGTCCTCCAGGTCCCTCAGGACCCACAGGACCACCTGGATTGAAAGGACCAGCTGGAGTGAAAGGCAAAAAGGGTGAAAGAGGTGATCCAGGAAGAGACGGGTCTGAAGTGAGTATGAATTAATCACTGCCATTTATTCCATTTATTTCACTAATTTCTAGTACATATAACTATGATCTCGTAAAAACATCTCTCAAAAAGATAAATTCTAAAGGAAGAATTTCTGATTGCAGAGTAAACCTGAATTGTCAGTTCTACCAAAATTTTAAGGCTGTAAAATGTTGCTATAGAAAACATTATACCTTCGAAGGCTCTAGCATTTCCTGGTTTATATGAAGGGTCAGTGATAGCCAATACTGAAAAAGTAGCTCGTCATTTCTTAATGAAATTCTGTCTGCTTGAGTAAACATTTTAGAACTGTAAAGACAACTGCACAAAATAGGAACCACATATTTCCTGAGCTTTCTTATTTTAAAGACTCTTACAAGACGCGTCTTAAGGGCTGCTATTAGGACAAAAGATAATTCAGGTTGCAACAACTATGGTACCATATTTTTAAGATATCAATCTGGATTGTTTAGAATTACCGGCCTATCGTACAAGGCACTTGAATTCTCTCAAATATAAGTCCTCCTATCTTCATATATAAAATTTAAACTAAATTAAAATTAATTCACTTATTTAGCTTTGATTAACGTCAGCTTCTTACGGTATATGCATAATTTAAAATGACTGTAGGCAAGGGTGTTCATAAATGACATTTGCATCAAAGTTTGAATTCAATAAACTAAGTGACAAAGGAAAATGTCAGTCGTTTTTATGTAAGGAAACCGTAATAACTCGATTTTTTGAAAAAACATTTACATGTCGGTTGGTAAAAGTGAAATAGGCCTAATTTTACAGACCAACTGTAAAATAATTGGATAAGTGTGAATAAAGTTGAAAAGAAAAAATAACCTAGATCTAAGGATAGATGGTTCTAGTTCCCCAAATTCACTCGTTATTTTATTTCTTTACATCAGATTTTCTGGTTTGCCATAAGTTACCGTTGCTTCAGAAAGGGGCTACATTCATTTATCTTAACCGTTACAAAATATCCAGTTGTCATCAGAGTTAAATCCAAAATACTTTGAGAGGAAGAGTTCACACTCTCTTACTACCATAGGAACTGACAGGAAAGAATTTAAGAAAATTAAGAAATTTTAGGATTTCCATCTTTGACCAGTGAAATAAAAATGTTATATTCAAACTAGGCGCAAACACCTGTTTTCTAATTTCAACTATATACCTTTTTATTTGATGGAAAAAATATAATTGCTAATTAAATTTTGATAAGGGTCTTCGTGGAGATGTTGGCGCTCCTGGACTAATAGGACGCACGGGAGCCCGAGGAGGTATTGGACCTACTGGTCCACCAGGAGCACCTGGTCAGGCTGGCCCAGCTGGAGCAGATGGCCTTCCAGGAGTTCAAGGTCCACCAGGCCCACAGGGTCTGCCAGGAGAACCAGGTGCAATCGGCCCGACTGGTGATCGTGGAGAAGTTGGTGAAGTTGGAATACGTGGAGGAGTCGGTGAGCCTGGTAAATCTGGACTTGATGGAAAGCCAGGGAGACCTGGAGAACAAGGCATTCAAGTAAGAAAATATAAGTATAATTTCGAAATGATTTTAACCACTTTGTTTACCTTGTACTGTACCAACAATTTTCACTTTTATTGCTTAATAACTTTAGTGATCTACTAAGTTAATATTTTTATGACAGATAATATTGTCCAAAATTTTCAAAATGCATGAAATTGCTATACGTCTTTAATTTACGAGGGAAGAAACAAAGAACTAAGGAATTAACAGTAAGTAAAATATGTATTTGTGTCTCTCAAGTATCAGACAATGTAGTATGAAGTATGTGGAATCCAATTGAATTAAATATGCACTGACAAATATGTTAAAAAACAAGGCGTACTCCACCTTCATTGATTAAAAGTCAGTGAAAATCAAAGAACTACTGGAAAGTATCTTGTACTATGGCTAAATTTCGACAGGCCATACATGAACACTTGGCAGGGATCAAATATATTATTATTAATCACTTAGATTCTGAGTGGAACATAGGTCTTCAACAACACATCTTCACTTTGTTCTGGATTATTCGCCTTATGTATAAAACTCTAGTCAGAATTAAGACGCTGATTTGCACACTTTTAATCAAAGAAGCTTCCGAAACGGATAAAATTCTTTGTTAGTTTTGAATCTGCCTTTGAATAGGCTACGGCCTACTTTAATTTTATCTCCCATATACATTTTATAAAAACATTTTATCGTCACTCCACTAGTTTTTGTCAACTCTACACAATTATACTGAATAGTCACTTTTCACACTTATTACATCATCCCAATTCTGCCTCATTTCCTAATTTCCAATAAGTCATCTACCTCCAGATTACAGCTGACATTATGTAGTAAATTTTCTATGCCAAATTTAGTGGTATCTGATTGAACTTATGAATGCTTTGTTAAAATAGAATACGACTTTACGACTTACGAAAGTTTGTCGTCGAAGAAATTTTTATCACAACTTTAATGGCAGGTCCTAAGTTCAGAAAAAGAAGCAGGGTTCGGTGTGGGGTTAGCAAACCCAACCCGCAAAATCGATCAACCTGCTACAGAAACTTCAGTGCACAATACTAAAAACATAAAAAACAAACGTATTCTCCACTGCCCTCGGAGAGACGAAACAACGCGAGCTGGTGAAAACCCTCGGGAAGCCAGTCAGTCAACCGATGTGTCTTCTACCGATGTAAGCAAAAATAAGGGTGTGTACGTGGAATGTTAGCACAATGTACAAGGGTACGACGGCTGCCCAAGTTGCCAAAGAAATGAGAAGATATGGTATGGAAGTGATAGGAATCTGCGGGAGCAGGTGGAATGGATGTGGGCTCCCCAAATTGCCAACTAGAGAGTCAGGTCAGTAACCCACTCCGGTCTGGTCACCGAGACGACAACCATGAACACACTGAGGCAGTGAGTGTGGCTATCATCATGATGTCACCAACACCAGCCAAAGTTATGATGCACTGGGAACCAATCTCCTCCTGCAGTGTTGTAATGACAGCACGATTCAACTCAAAAAGAAGGAAGTAGGGTTACAATTATGTAATGCTAAGCGCCTGCGAAAGACGCAGAACAAGAGAAGAGAGATTTCTATTGACGTCTGCAGACATTAATGGATAACCTCCTGAATGGCGACGTCAAAATCCTGATGGATAGTGAGAATGCTAAGCTGGGGACAGATAATACGGGGGAGGGGGGCGAGAATTCATCATGGGTCGAGAGGCTCTTGGCGAAATGAATGATGACGGAGAACTCTTTGAAGACCTCTGCGCCTCCAATGATTTGGTGATTGGAGGCGGCGTGTACACGCACAAGGATACACACCAGACGTCATGGGTTTAACCTGACGGACTCACGAAGAACCAGACAGATTTCATCTCAATCTCAAAGAAATCGAGATTCAGACTGCTGCACACGAAGTTGAGCAGGAGAGCAGATGTGGGCTCAGCCCACCATCTAGTTCAAGGGGTCTCCAAGATGCAGCTGAAGTCCTTCAAAACAAATGGAAACAGACCACAATTCAAGTCCAACATTCAGAAACTGAAGGACAAAGCTACAAGAGATACCTTCACTACAGATCAATTCAGAGCAAACTCGGATACACTACGTGGCGTCACTGAGGAAACCTGCGTGGAAGAACACTGGAACACTCTGAAAGTGATGCTCAAGGAAACGTGCACACATGTTCTAGGAAGAAGCAAGAGACATGACAAGGAATGGCTCACAACAGACACCTACTTGGAGGCTAATAGAAGAGAGAAGAGGAGGGTGGTGGAACCGAAATGAACCAATGCAAAGATGGACATCAGAAGGAGAAGCGGAGTCCAATGTACATCGCACTGAATATTAAAACAGTGAAGAAGAGTGCTAGGAGAGACAAAAGACAATTCCAAGACACACTGGAAACTGAAGCAGAATGTGCCTTTTCCTTCACTTATCTAGGAGTCATCCTTTCAAACAAAGGCGGTGCGGACGAAGATGTCTAAACCAGCCAGAATCGGAAAGGCAAAACAGACCTCCATCACTCTGACATCAGTTCGCGAATCTTCTGCACTCAGAGTAAAGAACGAAATTCGGATACCCAACACCAATCTTAAGTCAATTCTTCTATTTAGTTCAGAGAGGTACACCGTGCGTCACAAAGAGCATTTCCAACAGACCACTGCAGACTTTTATCAACAGCTGTCTACGCTGCATATTCAGGTTCAAATGGTCAGTCGGAAATAATCGGCAACAGAAAACTATGGGAAAAAGCCAACCAAGAGCCCCTTGCTCAACCAATATGTAGGAGAAAATGCAGTTGTACTGGGGACACACTGAGGAGACCGTCGAATGACATCGCGTGCGATGCAGATCATCGGTCGAGTGGAACCTGAATAGGAAACGAGGGTTGCGTTGTCCGATGGGGACGTGGAGAAGGTCGTGTGAGGAGGAGATCAGAGCCTACGGGCAATTGTAGAGCTAGCTACAGAGTACTGCAGAGAATAGGATAAAGTGGAAATGTTGTGTTTAAGCCTTATGTTCCACTCGGAACCCAAGGCAACATCATTAGTAATAGTAGCCTTCGAGTGTATTAAACTTGATTTATGTTCTCAGAATGGTATTAGTGTTTCCCCAGGTAATACAATCTCCTACTTGAATACATAAGCTTTTGGTTTATGTTAACATTTAGTTGCTATTTCTGTTGCTTAATATGCACTCAACGTATTACTACGCAGCTTATTTGCTATTTACCACTAACTTGTACATTTTTCGTCTTTCGTACGTAACTCCTATTTTTAAGTAACTGAAACTTTGGAATTAGATTGAAGCTTCAGTGTATAAGATATATTAAGTATAATAAATAGCTTTTGAGCACATTTTGGAGTCGCCGTTAACAGATATCATGTTATCACTTCAAGTACGTCGAAAATTCCCCAGCACATTTACTAATAGATCCGTCAGTTGTATGCAGCTGACAATAAATCAAAAGCAAAAATAAAACAGTCTTATTCTGCTCCATCATCTGGTTCTGCTTTATTTTAATTCATGAAGGGAACGCATACATGAAGCTGGTTAGCTTTCCTACTGACAAATGACATTCTATCAGTATTGACGATTAAACTGATTTCAAAACTGTAACATGTATCAGGCACCTGTGAAAAACGACCATTGAGAAAAATTCTATGGGTTAGGTGATCAACCAAAACTTCATGTTGCTGAAAAATGTAACAGACCAAAACATGTGGCGCTTGATACTGTAAAATTACTTCCTCCCCACTATTTTCAAAACAGCGTAACCAAGTTTGTGTTTCAAGCAATACCATAAAGTAAATCAAATTCAAGATACCTCGAAGAACACTTTCACAAATAGCCTATTTGTGAACAGAAATATTCAGAATTTCAGGTATAATCATTTCCAAGGGACAAGGACATCTTAGAACAGCCAAAATGTCTAATCAACAAAGACAGGCATCCCTATATTAGCAAGATAAATACGAGTGTCTGAAATAAGTTCATATATATTCTGCATCAGTGTGAATTGATAGTATCAGACAGACAGATTAAGGACATAGAAAACAAAAGATGCATAACAAGGTAAAATATGACTGCTTCAACAAACGTGATGAAGTTAGACATTAGATACCCAACAGACATAAACTCACCAATGAACTTGGAATGCTCAGTCAGAGCAGGGCAGTGAAACCAGGTAAATAACGCTTTACCCATGAATAAAACTGATGAATGAAGTGTAACAATACTGAACAGGATATATGGTTATTTTTAGGTTAGATTTAGACAGTGACAGGTTATGGTTAGGTTAAGTTAATTAGGAAGATATTAGGGTTGGTTTGGGATAGATTAGGGTTGCAGTTAGGTTGTGGTGAGAGCTGGATCCTAGCCAAAGTTGGTGGACAGTAATTGACGTCAATGTTTATGTCCCAAATATTGGTGGTGAGAAAATGAGAGCAAAGGCTTTGCGTAGGCGGATACAGTTAGCATATGAATGATCTGACACAGCCACAAAGAGATGCAAGGTTAACTTTCTGTGAGAAACAACCAATCAAAAGACTGTATTTTCTACTAACAATAATCTACAATAATGTATATTAAAATCTATAAATATGTGTTGATTTTCCTTAATAAACGATCTGTTGCCTGACCCTTGTCTTCTGTTGTTACTAGGATAAGGATAGATTACAGTTAGGTTTCAGGAAAGATTAAGGTTAGGGTTGAGTTAGGGAACTAAATATATTTACACCGTTATGGCTCTTCCAAGGTCATTGGTGAGTTCGTTCCCCTTAATTGCTAAAAGTTCAACTTCACCTAAAACATATATCTGATAAATGTACATCAAACAGAGACTGACAGCGATGACTTATTACATATACAGGTGACGTGAATGTGAATGCTAATTCAGAAGTTGGAATAAAAAGTATATTTAACGTGCTAATCCCTCTCTTGAGAATAACTGATGCATTTTTGCTTCATGGATTTCAGCGTGTTATTGTTAACTTCCATAAACGTATATGAAATAAATGCCTTAGTTTAACACATATATTGTCTATAAGCATAAGCGGTACTACTACGTATGCTGCCATATTCAGTTTCATCATGAATTTGAACTGATGATAACTCCTGATGCGATACTGAAGGTTTTAGGGAAAAGCTCAGAGACCAATAAAGCCACTAGAATATCAATATCCTGAACTGCAGTTATTCCCCACATATCAATTTCTTATGTATAAAGGAAAAGAGATATCTGTGGTGAATTGCTGCAATAAGTGTCGGGTAGTGCACTTGAATCAGTGAAATAAAATGAATATTCCCCTCAGTATAAACTAAATTTTATTTTTTTGTATATGTATGTATATATATAGTATCCCTGATAAACCTTTTGGCATAGTTAAGTTTGTCGAATTTATTTTAGTGTCATATTAGGATTAGTCTAATATATGGTTAAAAGAAAGAAATCAGACTGATTTACCTTAAGCCAGAAAAAAACTGTGTTATTCTCCACAGATATCTTTTTATATTACATTGCTTCTTGATTTCCAAAGATCTTTTAACTATTTACGTTTTTGACAATGTCAATGACTGTACAAGATAATGAACACAGTTAAGATGACATTTCATGTACGTGTTACTCTTGATAAGTTTTGATAAAGTTAAAAAAAACTAAATTTTGCAAATTGAGTATTTCTTGCTTTATAAAAATAACGTCATTATTTGCTTGTAGACAGCAGAATTCCATATGATTTCCCAAAGTAGTATACTCTGCAAGACCTCACACTTTCACAATGTCTACATCGTTGTATTAAATGAATAGAATTGAAGAAATCTCTTTTTATCTCCTACTTTAACTAGCAGTAATCTTACTTTGTGTGACAACTGTGAATTATTTTTACAGTTACCTTGTTTCTAATGTACTTTGGTTTATTTTACAATTAAAAGGGTCCACCTGGAAAAGATGGTATACAAGGTCAAAAAGGTGATATAGGTTTCCGAGGACCACTTGGACCAGAAGGTATGCCAGGTCCTCGAGGAGCACCCGGAACATCTGGTTCACCCGGAGAACAAGGAACTAAGGGATCTGTTGGTGTTTCCGGGCCACCAGGAAACCGTGGACCTCAAGGGAATTCGGGCCCACCAGGTGTTATAGGTCCTCGTGGCTTGCCAGGTACGATGTTTTTATCTGTTATGAAATTTTCATCATCATCATTTAGCTTTAGAATTAACCTAAAATTAATTTTCAAATATGATTTAAATTTAATGATACCAAAACTAAAATTACCAATTATTTTTCAGGGCCTGTTGGAGAAATTGGAAAGCCTGGCATTCCTGGTTCTCAGGGTTCACCCGGTGCGAAAGGATCAGCCGGAGCAGCTGGTTCTCCTGGTGCTCCAGGTAGACCAGGCATTGACGGCAGGCCAGGTGTCCCAGGACCTCCAGGGAAAAGTGGTCCAATGGGAAAATCTGGACCAAGAGGAGAACCAGGTCAAGCTGGACAAGATGGAAAACCAGGAAGAACTGGCCCTCCTGGACCACCTGGAGAAAACGGTAAAGATGGTATACCTGGGGCTTCTGGCCCTCCTGGACCAAGAGGTTCACCAGGTAAAGCTGGCTCAAGTGGACATCCAGGAACGGTAGGATCAAGTGGACCTCCAGGACCACAAGGTGAAATTGGACAACCAGTAAGGAACGAGGACTGTAATGAATAATATTAACCCCTTAATGATTTCAGAATAACAGGCTTAATTTATTTTTCGATGTCTAATAAGTAGTTATTCATTAAGACAACAGATTTACGTTAATTTATAAAGTAAGAAACTCGAAATGTCCTTTGAGATTTACGTTAAAACTCTAAGGTGTTAATTTTTAATGTTAACAGAAACTACAGAAAGTTTCTAATTCAGAAGGCAAAAGAATGAAGACTTCTGAATAGATCCAATGATATAAAGTGCATATAAGTGAACAAACCTATTTTTATTAAGTCAAAGAAAGCGGATCAAACTGATGAACACTGAGGCAATTTATGACATTTTGTAAATAAAGCTAAGAGATTTTTTACCGTATTGTCATTTGATATAAAATGCAACTTCCCTATGGTTTTATCTGATTGCTTCACTGTATATGACAAATGGATAAGAGCAGGTATTCCATAATTTTTTTCGTGACTTTATATTCAGTGAAGTAGAATATTAAGTCCTTTTAATTCATGTAAATTAATGTAATAAATAATTTGAACTATGCTTGATATTTTAGGGTCCTCAAGGTGAACGAGGTCTGCCTGGGTCAATGGGTCCAGCTGGCCCGAAAGGAGAAAAGGGCGAAAAGGGTCCATTAGGAGAACCAGGTGCACTTGGCGATTCTGGCCCACCGGGACCTCAAGGAAAACAAGGACCGATTGGTGAGAAGGGATTTGAAGGTTTGGTTGGAAATGTGGGTTCACCAGGTTTGCGAGGACCACGCGGTGATTCTGGACCAGCTGGTGAACCAGGAAAAGACGGAACGCCAGGAACAGATGCTCCGGATGGTGAAGTTGGTGCACCCGGTCCAGAGGGCCCACAAGGACCAGTGGGACCCGTGGGTCCTCCAGGACCTCAGGGTTTACCAGGTACAAAAGGAGAAACTGGTAGCATAGGACCGATTGGAATACCTGGACGTATGGGAGTAATGGTTAGTTATAAAATCTTTTATCTCACATTGCTCAGTCAGTTTTTGACTAAAAATAATGCTGTACTTTCGATAAACAGTAGTTTTTGTCTTGAATAATCGATTATTGTGAACTGAGGCAACTGAAACATCTGGTCTCCAAAAGAATTAGCAGAAAATAGAGTGACGTAAGTTATCTGCAGATAACAATAACTTTCTTGATGAAGTTAATAATTCATATCTAAATACGCTTCTGTGTTACAGCCTATGAACGTTAGAAGAACATAAGGGAAGATAATAAAGGGGGAAAAGATCTGATAGTTTATCGAATGACTGATATATTACAACTAAAGTTGAATTGTTGTGTTTGATATTATTTCATATCCACGTGTTTTGATTTCTTTTTAGGGAATACCTGGTGCCCCAGGGCCATCTGGACCAACCGGTCCACCGGGTTTCAAAGGTGATCGCGGTATTTCTGGAGTGCACGGTATACCAGGAAAAGATGGACAGCCTGGAAGTCCTGGACCTGTTGGTGCTAGAGGTCCGCCGGGTGCTATTCAAATGGGTGGAAGATCAGCCGGAATTGTGGGGCCGCCTGGACCAATAGGAGATGCTGGAGCACCTGGGGAGGCTGGAATTCCTGGACTAGCCGGGCAGCCAGGTCCGGCAGGCCTTCCAGGTCCAAGCGGGACACCTGGAAAACGTGGGCCAGCTGGTTCTGCTGGACCACCAGGAAGTCCAGGTCAGAATGGTCGTGCAGGAATGCGAGGTCGAGCAGGTAGTCCAGGTCAACTTGGCGGGCAAGGCCCTCCTGGAGTGCAAGGTCCTGCAGGCGCCCCGGGCGTCAGGGGACCACAAGGCCCTCGTGGTCTTCCTGGCCGTCAGGGTACGCAAGGTTCCCCAGGAAAGGCCGGACTAAATGGTCCACAAGGTGAAACTGGTTTACCAGGGAAACCAGGGAAACAAGGTCCAATAGGATCACCTGGACCGGCTGGAAAGGATGGTGACCCTGGAGAACCTGGTCCCCCTGGAACAATCGGTGAACCTGGAGATGTTGGCAGTCCAGGAGCTCCTGGAAGAGACGGGTCGATTGGAATGATTGTAAGCCATCAATAATTTTTCATAAACTTTTTGGAATATTATGGAATTAAAATAAGGTCACATTAGTACAAGATAATAGATATGCATTAGTAACCATAATAGTTTTTAGTCTTCAAAAGCTAAATATTATCTTGAGATCTATCACAATACGATTAGAAACATTTCAGACTACTTTCCCATAAATAAGAAGTTGATAATGAAGTTCATATTGGGATATGCTATTTATGAGGTCACTAAAATGTCACACTCTTCTCCCCTAATGTCACTTTATTTCTTGGCCATTATGATATCATGAATATCGACAGTAGTAGTGTACTCTAAACCAAGATGTAAATCAGGTTAATTTTTCAAAGTACTACTACACTGATGACTCTCAAGGTCCATGTGACACAAGAAAATCAGCTGAAGTAGCTAACTCTCCTGGTGTTCGAAGTTCATATGCTTCTTGGATAACGTTCATGTTAACTACCTAGTTTGAAATCATGTTCCCTGAGATCTAGACGAACGAATATCAGCATGCTCATCACGAGGCCTGACAGTCCTGAGCTCCAGCTGCTGTGTCAAAAAATAAAGTCTGATAGAGTAACATATCAGTAAATCATTATAATCATACTGAGATTCTCAATTTTCACACAACCAGTTCCCCTAATTAGTTCGAACAAAGAAAGAACGGACAGATTCGTGGATTCTTTTCGACTGCTTGCATGCTAAATAAATCAGTTATATGTTCCTAAATTTTCTGAATGTATAATTGATCTATTTAAGGTGTACGCATTTGAAGAGAATCCACGAAATAAAACGAACTCCTATTATCTTATCTGCAAATATGCTCGTTCTTTCTTTATTCCTAATTTTGTTAACGCTGAAAAAACATAATCATTATTTATGTTTTTCATTTAATCGAAATTTATCTAACACAAAAGCGTAATTGTTTAGTAACCTTTTGAAGGCAGAAATCATATTTAACATTACTTGTGAATAAAATAAGCCTATCAATTTGACTAGAAATGTTAATTGAATGACTGCATCTTAAGGGAGATAACTTCATTTGTTCAGCTGACCGCAGTTTTATATGCTTAAACGTAATCAGCCATGCTAACTGTGTTTCTGTTGTTCAGTAATCAGTAACTTCTCGACTGCTTTTTTTCAAAAACAGGGTATGCGTGGCTCTTCAGGAGGACCTGGACCGAGAGGACCACCTGGTCCACTAGGCCTAAGCGGCCCACAAGGAGCAGCTGGACCAAGCGGACCACAAGGTGCTGAAGGACCAAGAGGTTCAAAGGGCGTTAAAGGACCACCTGGATCGGAAGGACTTGAGGGACCTCCTGGGGAAGATGGTGGACAAGGCCCTGAAGGATTAGCTGGACCGGTTGGTGAACCCGGGCTTGATGGGCCCAGAGGTCAGCGTGGTGCTCCGGGTCCCTCAGGCCCAGTTGGAGAAGTAGGACCACCTGGTCAAGATGGTCGTCCTGGACCACAAGGAGAACGTGGTGTTTCTGGAAAGCCTGGACTTCCGGGACCACCAGGAGCAAAGGGAGTTGAGGGAGAAATTGGTGCAGATGGACAAGATGGATCCAGTGGTCTTCCTGGAAGTCCGGGTGGTAGAGGTCACCCAGGATGGTCAGGACCCCCAGGTCCACCAGGTCCTCCCGGCCCTGATGGCGTACGTGGTGACCCTGGTGAAATCGGTTATCCTGGAAATCCAGGACCAGCAGGGGAAAGTGGGCCTATTGGTGAGAGTGGAGCTAAAGGCCCTAAAGGACAAAGGGGAGAAACTGGACTACCTGGCCCACCAGGGCCATCAGGTCGTGATGGATCCTCCGGACCTCCTGGACCAATGGGACCCCCAGGGCCTCCTGGACCACCTGGAATGCCATCTGTACAACTACCAATAACCAGTCGAAGCACAAAGGCAGGAAATATTTATGGTGATGATCCATTAGCAGGAAAAATTATGGGAACATATGAACCTGCAAGACCAAGAGGAACAAAATCTTCTCCAGCAGTAACTTGTAAACAGCTGGGAGAATACAATAAAAATCTACCGGATGGTAAGTTAGTGAAAACATTTTGTCAACATTTTAGGTATTATGAATAATTTTTGTAAATCAAATGAATGGAAGTTTACCTTGCATTTATTAGCCTGATAGTTAAAGGTCCCTTATAAAATAATTAATATTACATCAAGTGTACCTCGTCTAACACTTGGATTTATAAGACACCTAGATGATGATGACTGATTTGTCTGTGACCATGAGGTGTAATTATCCGTCTCCACTATACAGATGAACCGTACTAAAAGGGTGTATTAATTCCGTGCACCTCTTTATCGAGAGCTGTTCATATCTAATTAAATTAAATCAAGTAAATGATCATATCATTTTTTCAGACATAACTAGAAAGCTTGGTATTCACTAATCTAGAAGTCTTCATAGTGATAATAGTTTTAGTTATATTCGTAAATATTCCAATTCCTAGAGATACCAAAGTTCAAAGATCTACAGAATTATCAGAATATTTTAGAATTATGTATACTGTGTATGATGTAGATGACAACCAGACTTCATGACATCATTCCATTTGATTAAGCCCACAAATGAAGAAAACAGAGAAGACTGGAACGAAGTTTTCTCACACGCCGAAAATGAAAGAAATGCTCAAAACAAAAACATTTAAGTGGGTTAGACATTAAGAGAATACAATGGATTTTCATGAATAAATATTTTACTATTCACTTAGATACACACCAGTTGAAAATTAAAAGTAATGAAAACTTAAACATCAAATGAAATTACTTTGCAACTCCTACAAGTTTCATACTTTAAATGTAAATTATAATGACAATTGTGTACTCAGTGTAAAACTACATCAATTAATAAGGAAATTAAGAGTGTATTTGGTATTATTTGAACTATGGTACCTTGCACTGGAATCCAGATTAGGCGTTTCGTCTTACCCGGGACTCTCCCATATCTGATGTACCTATATACCGGATAGTAATGTAGTGACCAGTAGGGTGCAGCAGGCTGGGTGTGAGGACAAATACTCGCCGAAGACACTGGCTAGTGGTCGCGCTATGTCGTGAATCGACAGAAGTTAGAATTCATGAGCCATTGGATTGGGTCCCAGTGGCCCAATGATCTACGAGCTCGTCTTGTAACCAGAGGGTCCTGAGTTTGAACCCCGGTGGGTGCGTACTGATGAAGAGTCCCAAACTACGACGAAACAGCCGTCTAGTACTCCGTGGTTTTCCAGTGGTTCTCTAACCAATGTCAGCTCATGATGAAATCCTGTAATAATGTTTCTGCTGAAGCTCGAACCCAACTAGTATGGTATGAGCTAAATAGTCATTTGTTTGGCTAACACCTTGAATATCTTACACTCGAGATCTCCGATGGTATTAGGGAGAATTCTTAACTAGAAAGAAACAGTTTCTAGGCTTTCAATACTTTTCGAAGCCATATTGATTCCTAACAAGTTTACTTTGAAAGAATTATAAAGATGACGGAAACTGTATGAATTCCTCCTGACGATTCCAGTTTTTTGACGAAAAAGGAAAACTGATTTCATTATATATTTTTTTGCACGAAAAACATCAAAAAGAAAATCGATAGTTAAAATATGATGCCTAACAACCTACTTGTCTGTTCACCTCTGTTGTAATGGTAGTAGATATTTTCTGATTCTGATGTGTGCTCATTTTGTATTTTAAACGATAAAGTCTTTGAACTTTTAAGGTAATACTTTTGCTCGTTAGATATAACGCAGAATGAAAACATATCAGTCACAGAATAATTTTCCGAATGCATTTTCACATTAAGGCAATTTAGTATCTTGAAGATATAGTTTTCATAATTGTCTTCCTTAGAAGTAAGAGAACTTTCTAGGTCAGCGAATTCACTTCCACAGCTGTACAGTAGCAAATATTTATAGTTATTTTGTGTGTGTGTTTGTGGACATTAACTTTGTCAAACAACAATATAATTAGTAAGTTTTTTGGTGGAGCTGCGTAATACATAAAGTGTTCACAGGGATTGAATGTTGATATAAAAGGGCAGTACCAAGAGTGGTGACTTCCCACAAACGATTGTTAAAGAAGAATCGTGTAATGACATTAATAGTTTGATGAAAGAGTTGTGCTTAGGGTGAACGTGGAAACAAAAAGAAATACAGAACCACGTAAGAGCTTTAAGTAGTTAGAAAAACAAGCAGAAAAGCAAAAGTTAAGTCAGATCAACAGAGTTGTTACCATGATAGTAGAAATGGCTGAATAATTTTCTTTTGTGTACATAGTTCTAATTGAATGGCTAGGACTTCTGCAATGCAAAGAACACTATCCAAAGTGGCTGCAGAAAGGAAGTAGTGGCGTATGAAGAGTGTAATAATCGAACTTCTCGTCACCACTGGTCATTCCATTTCTACAATCGCCTCCTTCAAAGTAATCTAAAAAGTGAAGAACAACCTGCCGAAGACAATACGTTTCCGCCTTCTTCTAATTACAGGTGTATCTGTTCTTTAAACACCAAATGTCATCCATTAGTTTTTATAAGATATCTGTTCACAATGAACTACAAAATTATTGAAAGCTAAAATACTTTTTCAATCCACCCAAATCTATGATATTTGCATTCAAGATACTTCATTTGAGAGGTGACATATTTTTTGGCAGTCATCAACAAGACATTCCTGTAACTCCGAGGAACTTGAACCTCATTTATTCATTTCTCAATTCAGGGACTTTACTTCGAAGTTGTTTGCTAATTGCAACCATTGAACTTATCTTAATTTTAAACACTTTCTTGGTCAATTTTTGCATTCAACAATCCTACTTAACATTTCATTTCAAGGATTCTATTGGATTGATCCAAATGGACACGAGATTAATGACGCCGTACAAGTCTTTTGTAAATTTAAGACAAGTGAAACATGTATTCGATCGAAACAGGAAGCACTAAACATCAATCATCCAGAAGACTTGAATTCAACTGAAGCAGATGGTAGCTTAGATGGTCAGTTTTATGAAGTAAGTCTTATTGAAATTGACTGATTCTCACAAGGAAGTATTGAGCTTACTTTCTGTATGGTGTAAATTGTGTTTCGACATAATATTGAGCATAAGAACCAATAGTTCAAAGTCTCTTTTCGGCGAATTCATTCACTTAGCTGTACAAACACAATTATATATAATTATTTGTGTGTGCGTGTGTGCACATTATGTTTGTCAGACAAGAATAAAGATTAGTTAGGGTTGTTGTTTATGTCATCAAAATGTTTCAAAAATGTGGTGAATAATCAAATTGTAAATAGAGGGTGAAAATTAGTAATTATTGACAAGCATTACGTAATACGAAGCACCAAGAAAAATAAGATGTTAATAAAAGAAATTGTGTAATAGGTAGACAGAGTAAATAAAGGGTTAGTTAAGTAAAAGCTGTTACTAAAATATTATACAAAACATCCACAAATAGTGCTGGTAACAAAGTAGTCGAACTTGGAATTATACCCAGAGTAGAAGGAGGGGATGGCGAAGTTGCTTCTGTGTACATAAATCAGGGTTTTCCGTTAGATTCACTAAGGCCTCGGCAAAGCACATTATACGAAACTTACCGTTTTCGGGAGGCTTCTTTCGACTTTGTAGATGACTTTTAATGAATTCTCCTTTAACTTATTTGAAAGATTTATTACTATTGTGTACTGATAACGTCCATTTCACGTTTGAAGGTGAACATTTTAGACAAGTGGATGGTGTTGCTATGGGGAGTCCATTAGGACCTTTATTAGCGGATGTTTTTATGTCTTATGTTGAAAACTTATCTTCTGATTTAATTTCTAAACTGCCTTTCTATAGGAGATATGTAGACGATATCATTTTGATATGCGATGATCATGAAGATGCGAGTCGTCTATTGGACAGACTCAACTCTGTACAGAATCATATTAGTCTTACATGCGAGGAAGAAAGTCGCAACCAGCTCGCATTTTTAGACATACTTCTGAGTCGAAGAGACGATGGCTCAATAAGACGTTCTATCTACAGAAAGCCCACTTGGACAGGGCAATATCTTAATTTTCACAGCTTCTGTCCATTACAATATAAGAGAGGCTTGGTGAAGTGTCTATTTAAGAGGATTCAGCGTATTTGCACGGCTGATGTTATAGACAAGGAAAACGAAATATTGATGGATACTCTTGTTGGAAACGGATATCCTTTGAAGTTTTTAAACAGGTGTAGAAGTCAGCTAGCCTCTAAACCTACAATCCATACCGTCCCTAAGAAGAAGGTTTTCATCAAATTACCATATAATGGGGAAATAAATAGTAGGATTTTGAGACAAAGGTTGAATTCCATCATCCGTAGAACCTACTATGCAGCCCAGCTTGTAATTGTCGAAAAGGCTAAAAATATGCTTCACTGGAAACCTCAAAAGTGCACAAGTGATTATATCACATCCCATACAATTTACCAATTTTCATGTGTGTGTGGACATACATACATAGGGAGGAGTAATCGCGCGTTGCACGTGAGGGTGGGAGAGCATATCCCAAAGTGGTTAGGAAAACAGATGAATTGTGACAAGCCCATAGATGCAGGTGCCAGACTACCAACTTCGTCTATAGCTAAACATTTAATCGATATGAACCATAAGGTTGATGTTAACTCAGCCTTTAAGGTCATCTATAAAAACGGTCAAGGACGTTAACTGAAATACGCTGAGGCTATAGCCATTCATAAACTTAAGCCCCCCTTGTGTATTCAAAAACAGTTTGTTATTACTCTTAACCTACCTTGGTAATCCTTATTTGATTGGATTACCAAACGTTTGTGTTAATTATTCTTAATTCTTTTTTTGTCACCTTGTTTAATTTAACCTTTCCATATATATTGACTTGACAAGTAAATGTGTGATCAGATTGTTCGAAATGTATAGCGCTAATACATCACATTTTTCAGATAATCTCCGTCTTCTAATAATGCTATCAAAATTTATAAAAGGGACTAACTGTTTTGAATTCTCCTTACATGTTGAGTGAGTGGTGTTGAATATATGTTCATGCATTTATTCCCCTTGATGAATTTGAATAAAGCAAGAATAACAGTGGTTTGCGCAGAGTAATATGGTACTATCATTTATTTCATTGGCTTCTCATCATCTGCTTACAGCCTGAATAAATTATTAGGTTTATGTACAGAAAAGTTTTAACGTACTTGCAAATTTTTCATGATGTCAGTTGACAGAAAGTTCCACAATTAATGAACAGTGCTCAGAAAATTGCAATTATATAGTTTTTTACACAGGCATTTCAAGTTTAAACAAAGTAAATATATGCATACAATGGTAAAGGGGTTACTTAATAAAGACGGGAGATGCGTAAGATGCTGAGTGACTAATAAATTAGGTAACAATGTCCTGAGTTCAACTTAAATCATAGAAACAAAAGAAAAGCAAAATTACACTATGTCAAAGGGGTGAGGTTAAAGCCAAAGATTACTTGATCAAAATGAAAGAAAGAATAAAGACATCCACTGACCATGGCAAGAAAACACTAATAACTGCTTCTTTCTGAACACATAAATCTGGTTTAAAGTGTCTAATAGAAATTGCTTCGGCAAACTTGAGGAGAATCGAGCTCCTTTGTCTATTGATAATTTTAAAGGATTTCGCCATTTCCACCTCATGACCTCATGTCTGGTAATAGTGCTATTATAAAAGTTCCCGGGAGGTCCTGGGTTCGAAACCCAGTGGGTGCGTACTGACTGTGATTCCCAAACTAGGATGAAACAACTGTTCAGTACTCCCTGATTTTCAACGGTTCTCTAATTGATATCAATCCCTGGTCAAATTAGTATAAAATGGGATTTCCCAAGTAACTAATAGTGATACACACTGTTGAAATCCTAAGCAATAGATTACCTGCTCAGGTCTGCTTAAGATGTGTAACTGCCAAAAGAACAGAATACACCCCCTAGTTTTCAGTCACAACTAATAATATAAAAAATAAAAGATGAAAAGGTTCAAGGAATACACCGGATAGAGACGTTAGACTTTAAACGACAGTATGTACCAACTTATAAATAACCTTGAACGCACCAACCGCATGGTAAATGCTATCTTTACACATAAAACCCGTATATGCAAGGAAATAATGAATTAAAAAGCATGCAGCTTTTACACAGGATACCTTTCTCTGACGTGTAACAAAAGTGTCTCTCAGTTTTGGACTGCTGCATAAACAGAGTAATTTAACCACATTCTATACATGTATTTATCTAGGTCTTCTAGCTCTAACAGTAACCGGAATCTTTTCTTAACCCAACCACAACTTCAAAATACCCCTAATCTAGCCCTAATCTAACTCAAACTAACCCTTATGTCGCCCCAGTTAGGTTAACCTAACTCTAACTTGCCCTTAGCATAAACCTTAAAATTTCCCAGAACTAACCTAAAACTTATCAGATATCCCGTTTAATTTCATAATACCTCATTAAACATATTTATATTTATGATTACAGTGTTATTTACCAGGCCTCACAAACTTGCTCAGTGAGCTTTTCCAAGTCATCAGAGCGGTCACACACCACTAGTATTTACTAGTGCTTAAAGTTTAACCTGGCCAGCCAGAGTAGCTGTCTGTCACCACCCTCTTCTCAGATGACTACAAATTAGTAAGTGTAGATTGTCAAAAGGTGAATAAATAACCTTATTTAAATGACCGATCACTAGATAGAAAATAATGTCATGCTTTTTACGACTTGATCACGGATTGATATCAGTTAGAGAACCATTGAAAACCAGGGCGTACTGGACAGCTGCTGTTCGAATCCCAGTGGGTGCGTACTGCCAACGATTCCCAAACTAGGATGAAACAGCAGCTGTCCAGTACTCCCTGGTTTTCAATGGTTCTATAGATGATATCAGTCCGTAATCAACTCGTAAAAACATAACTAACCTTTATAAACCAAACTATAGAAAATAAAGTCATGCGTTTAGTCCTTGGTGTTTATGCTGACTGAATTATATCTGTCAAGTTTGCAATGTGTTTACCAAACTAGGTGATTCATCATTGCAGTGCACTCTGAATTAGTGTTAGGTGGACCTAGGTCTCTGGCTGAAGCACTAGAGGAAGTGGGTTCCAATCCCATAACCGGCACCAGTTCCTTCAGTTTTGCAGATACACATTGCTAACGAGCACCAGCAAGCATGAAACTAAGGTTCATGACTTCCTGCCGATTGCCTCCAACCATCTGATATCATATTATTATATTCCAGAGAACCGTAGCCGTTGTGAAATAGGCTTATGATGTTAGAAACTTCAAAATGTTTGATAGAAAGTATACATCAAAATGACGGCTCGTAAATTTTGACAGCAATCTAGAGCTACTGAATGAATATACTATTTTACTGACTCAAAAAAATTTATTTTTCTTCCATCTTAAAAATTTTGCTGTTATCAACTGTGATGAAAAATTATGCAATGGCTTCGCAGACTTTTGTACACCATATGAAGTTTTAACTTGCCATGTTTCTTAAATTCTAGGTAAATAGTTTGCTTACTCATAAGTAGTAGAAACTAAAAGGATAAATAAATGTTTCATTCGTCAGGTTCCTTTCATTAGTCTGAACAAAAAAGAACAAACATATTTGCAGACAAGATAATACGAGCTTGTTTTGTTTCGTGGGTTCTCTTCAACTGATTACACCCCAAATAAATCAATTATGTGTTTCATAATTTTCTTAACATACTTTTTACAGTGACTTCAATTTATAGATAAGAAGTATAGGCAACATAATTTCAAAGATGATGTAAGTAGACAGTTATTTAGTGTTAAAAGAGTAACAGCTAAGTTAGATTCTACATGTTATAATGGAGCGTTCAGGAGGGTTAGGTGAATATTGAGATAAAATTATATAATAGGTAAAATGATTTAACTTAGTGGATTTGGAACCTTAATAGTGAGTTCAACTCAGTAATTGAAAATCAAAATCAAGTTTGAGTGGAATGTTATGCCACAGAACAGAACATCAAAGCACACGAAGAAAAAAAACAATTACGGTTACCGAGCTAGCGAGAGATGAGCCACACTACCTTTCTGTATGCATAGGTTGGGTTGAAGTCTTTTGGTAGCAATAGCTTCTGCGAACTGAAGTAACCATGCTTTTCCTTGCCTATTGATTATTTTGAAAGCCTGCATGTCCCGTGTCAATTTGTTGTCTGGCGATTGCGCTTGAGAACACTTTGCTACCTTGAAACTGGAAACTTTTAGGGATATGCTTGGAGAATCTAATAGACGCTCTCCTCTCAGCCCTTCCTATGTACTTGCTACCGATAAGGCTCTTTTCGATGACTGTGACTTCCTCTTCTATCTTATCCTCTAAACACAACGACCTGGCTCTGCTGACGAGCGTTTTCACCTGGCTCCATTTACAGTCGATCAGGTAAGAATTGTGATAGTTCGAGCATTGGCCAGTCCAAGTGTCTTTCCTGCAGAGGGATTTTTCAATCTTCCCACCGTTTCTTCTTTTTATGTTGAGATCTAGGAAGTGGTCTATTGTAAATGTTATATGATGGTGAGCCACACTGAGGTTTTCGGACAAAGTGGATGCGTGATCCATATTGTTCTAAACCACAAATATGTCGTCAACATACCTTCAGTAACAGATGCTTCTGTTTCCGGCTTCATTCGTGTCTGTTCAAGATGAGCCATGATTATGTCCTCAAGAACAGGATCCAAAGGTGAACCCATAACCACCCTGCCAATTAGCCGGTACAACTGGCTGTTGAATCAGAAGTGAATATTCCTTACACAAAGAAGTAGCAATTTTCGTAGCTCCTTTTTAGGAAAGGGAAGCAGTTCTGATCGCTGGCATATGCCTGTCACGGCTACTTCAGTGGGTATGCTAGTAAACAATGAACAAACATCGAATGATACGAGTGTGCCTTAAATATTCAGTTGTTCTAATTTTTATGAGAATTGGAAGGAACCCTTGATACTGTGGACTTCAAACTTTTGTCGAATTGGTTCCAACCTTTGCGCCAACCACCTGGCACGATGATTTCACCAGTGACATTATAGGTTTCAATGGCAGATCAGGTTTGTGGACTTTAGGTTGGCCATACATGAACGGTAGGCGTGAACCTCTTACTTTAAGGTCATTAAAGGGGCTTTTGTCGATTAGTCCTTCTTCAAGCAGTACACTGAGGTGTCTGTTTACTACGTTTTGGAAAGACGTTTTGTTTTGAAGTCACTGTAAAAAGTATGTTCAGAAAATTATGAAACATTTAACTGATTTATTTAGGATGTGTATAGTTGAAGAGAATCCACGAATTACAACGAGGTGGTATTATCCTGTCTGCAAATATGTACGTTCTTACTTTATCCGAAATAAATAAAATGTGTACGAGCCACTGTCAACTGCCAAATTTCTATAGACTTAATGCTGAGAAGAATTTAACTATTCTGGTTTTCATTTGATGTATTTCATTTCTCTTCAGTTTATGTATGAAATGGAAGGAAACCAACTGGAGTTTCTAAAGCGTCATAGTGTCACTGGGACACAACATATCTATGAAGATTGTTCCAAATCAACTGGAAGATTAGAAACTACTGAGTTAATTACACAAGCTGTTACATTATATACGGACAGTGGAAGTGAACTATCTTATGGTCATCCTCATCTTGGATATGAGCTTATTCAGAATAGATGTCGTGTATGTTTATATGTTATTTATTATGCTGTAAATAATGAAATGAAATTTTTAGAATTCCACTTAATTCACAGATTACACTTTTGATCACAGGCTTACATCAGACAGATAACCATTGGAAAACCAGAAAGAACTGGATAGCAGTTTCTTCCTAGTTTGGGAAGGTTCATCAGTACGCAACTACTGCTAAAGTGTCTCAGACTAGGGTGAAACACCTGTCCAGTACTTCCTGGCTTTCCAGTGGCTATTTAACTGATCTCAGCTCAAGACCAGACTTGTGAACAGTCGAATCTTAACAAACCAACATAAAATTTCATAGATTCTTAGTTAATTCCATCAACTGTGTAGCGTAGTGGGCCGAAGATAATCATTTTTAACATACAGTGCAGTGGCTCAGGAAACATATTCAAACTATAGTATATTATGGATTCAAACGAGAATGTGGCATTATCAACTACTTAGTCCACTGAGACTTTGTTATCGATAATATTTGTATTGAAATACTTGGTTTTGTGACAAACATAGGTTGACTCTCCTTCCTCACAGTTACTGATGCCTCATCAAGGCAAAAAAATATCAAAAGAAAATCCTTTGAATCAAATGTGCAATTCACAAATTAGATAAGCCTAAATTCAAGTGATTTGATCTGATTCGACTGTCTGAGTTGAGTCAAACTGGGTACAGAACAGATGATGATTTTGGCTTCAAAAGGATGAAATAGCTGTCTGGTATTTAGATCATTTTGACCTGGCTAGCAAGC